TTCTGTCTTGTTGAGACAGGGTCTCCCTTGATTCTGCTGCTGCATGGCTTACTCCAGGCTAGCAGGCACACGACATCTGGCTTTTTACATGGGTTCTGGGTTCTGGGGCTTGAATGCAGGTTGTCAGGCTTACATGGCTAGCTTCTTACCTGCTGAGCCATCTCACCAGCCCAAGAGACAGGATATTTTTTCTTTTTTTCAATATTTAATTTATTTTTATTTTATGTGTACGAATGTATTGCCTGTATGTATGTAAGTGCACCTGTGTCGTGCAATGCCCATGGAGGTCAGAAGAAAGGATAGGATTCCTGTGGAACAGGAGTTACTGATGGTTGTTAGCTGCCATGTCAGTGCTGGGAATCAAACCCAGGTCCTCTGCAAGAGCAGTTAGTGCTCTTAACTGCTGAGCCATCTCACTAGCCCTAATATTTTTTTTCTTTTTCAGTACTGGGGATTGAGCCTAGAGTCTCCGGCATAGGCGTAAGCCATCTACCACTGAGCTACACTTCCAACCCCCAAGTGCCAAGATAGTCTTGATCTCCTTAACTATGTTGGTATCAAAGGTTATGAAAGCTTAACTAATCATTAAAAAGTGGGGGAGGGCTTATAGGGAAGGAAAGTTTTTAAACATTTGAAAGATGAAGTTTCAGGGCTGGGGAGATGGCTCAGTTGGTAAAGTATTTGCCATGCAATTATGGGGACCTAAATATGATCCCCAGCACCCATCTAAGAAGCTGGGCATGGTGTGTGCTTTTATAATCCAGCACTAGGGAGGCAGAGACAGGTAGGTCACTGGGCCTTGCTGACCAGCCAGCCTAGCCTACTCTAAGCTTCATGCCAATGAGAGATCCCATCAAAACAAAACAAACAAACAAACAAAAAACAAAGTGAGGGGGCTAGAGAGATGGCTCAGTGGTTAAGAGCACTGGCTGCTCTTGCAGAAGACCTGGGTTTGAGTCCCAGCACCCACATGGTAGCTAACAACTGTAACTCCAGTTCCAGGGGAATCCAATGTCCTCTTGTGACCTCTGAGGGCATTGCATGATACGACACAGATACACTTACATACATGCAGGCAATACACTCATACACATAAAATAATAAAATATTTAAATAAAAAACAAAGTGGAGAGTTCATAAGCAATAAACCTGAGGTTGACTTCTGGCCTCCATAGGCACCCACCAATATGCACATGTGCATGCACAGAGAGAGAGAGAGAGAGAGAGAGAGAGAGAGAGCATCAGAGAGACAGAGACAGAGAGAGACAGAGAATTAAAAAACTCCTGAACCTCCAGTTCCTGAGAAGTAACCTTTATCAGCTTAGCTCACAGGATAGAGTCCGAGTAGTCCAACAATGGCTGCACCACACTGGTGCGGCTGAGAATCCATAGTCGCTCAGAGTCCACGAGGCTGGATGTCTCAGTAGTCCCAATCTGGCGCTGAAGGTCTGATGAATTCCAAAAGATCAGCTAGTTTTCAGTCTACAGCAGCAAGACAAACTCACCAGTGAGAGAGAAGGCAAGCAGCAAGAAGCCAGCGGTCTCCTCTGTCTTGGCCTTTTATATGGGCTGCCATCAGAAGGTAACCCACATTTAGGGTGTGTCTTCCAGCTTCAGATGATCCAATCAAGAAGATCTCTCTCATTTCAGTTAATCCCAGATCCAGTCAAGTCGACACCCAGGATTAGCTAACACAGAGAGAGAGTGGGGGAATTTAATTTATAAGAGAAATGAGGGGGCTTGGAGAAATTGCTCAGTGGTTAAGAACACTGAGTGTTCTTGCAAAAGATCCGGGTTCGAATCCCAGCACCCACATGGCAGCTAACAACTGTCTGTAACTCCAGTTTCAGGGTATCCAACAGCCTCTTCTGTCCTCCGTGGGCACTGCACATCACAGATGAACTTACCTACATGCAGGTAATACACTCATACACATAAAATAAAGTTAAAAAAAAGAAAAATGAGATCATAATTCAAATGAAGTTGATGGGGTTTCCTTTTGTTGTTTGTTTAAGACAGGGTCTTGCTCAAATCCACATTGTAGCCCAAACTAGTATTGAACTGGTGGCAGTCTCCTGCCTCAGCTTCCTGAGTGCTCAGATTACAGATATGTGCCACTACAAGTGACTACCAAATGAGGTTTTTTTGTTTTTTTTTTTTTAACCTACTAGATAATAAAGATTAAAAAATTTCATATGGGATTGGGGACATAATTCAGTGGTGGAGAATGTTTTGCACATGTGAGGGCCTACTTTTAATCTCTAGCACCACAAAATAATTTGACTAAGTAGATAAAATTTTTTTAAATGTCTGGAAAGATGACTCAGTGATTAACAGCACTTGATGTTCTTGCAGAGGACCAGGATTTGGTTCTCAGCACCCATATAGCAGCTAACAACTGTCTGCAACTCCAGTTCCAGGGGATCTGATACCCTCTTCTGGCCTCCATGCCCACATGTGGTGCACTTACATACATGCAAGCAAAACACTAATAAAATTAAAATAAATCAAAAAAGATTTTAAAAATAAAGATTTGGGGCTGGGTGTGGTGGCACATGCCTTTAATCCCAGCACTTGGGAGGCAGAGGCAGACAGATCTTTGTGAGTTTGAGGCTAGCCTGGTCTACATAGTGAGTTCCAGGACAGCTGGGGCTTTACAAGGAGACCCTGTCTCAAAAGGACAAAAAAAAAAAGTAGGAAACAGCATATTTTAAAATGAAATGGAGATCTTTAAAGGGTAAAACCTCATTCAATTTTATGTCTTACAGGGTTTACACTGAGTTCAATATTGTATAACTGTATTCAACTGTGAACCTAAAAATTTTATAGCAGCTTTTGAAAGAGATGTGTCTTTGCTCTGGAAATTGTTTTTGAGTATGTTAAAGCTGCAACTGTCTCAAAAAGACCAAATAAATAAATAAATAAATAAAGATGTGGTAATATACTCTACTGGTGTGGGAGGAAAGAAGTTGATTATGAAACTGCAAATTGTTGCAACCAATGTGGAGGGTGATGGGACTATCTCTCAGAGAAAGATATGTAGAGGGTCAGCGAGATGGCTCAGCAGGTAAGGGTACTTGCTGCCAAGGCTGAGGACCTCAGTTTCATCCCTGGAACCCACATGGCAGTGGGAGAGAACCAATCCTCACAAGTTTTCCTCTGAACACCACAGGGAAACTGTGCATATATGTGTGTTCCCACACAAAATCATAAAAAACGAGCATAAAAATTTTAACTTTAAAAATTACACTTAGGCTTAGACATAATTCCACTTCCAGGAATTAACACAGTTTCATATAGTAAAGAAAATGAAGCATCTATATTTATATATTGGATATGTATTGATTTATATATCAGTACATACACATATATAGAGACATATGTCTATATGTGGAATGAGCCTGTGGTACTTAGACAAAAACAAAAGGCAAAGAGGAAGCAGGGGTTACTATGCTTCAGTTGCTGCAGTTATACTTGCATAGATAATGCATACATGCATGCTGAAATGTGCGTGGGCAGTCTCTGAAGTATTGCCTACAGTGGCCCATGAGGCCTCACATGCTCTAGCTTGCCGTTAGGCATCTTGTAATGGCCCCTCTGACATCTCTACTAACTCTACCTGCCGTCCTGGCCAACCTGCTGTTTTTGGAACACCCTGGGTACTGTCTGCCTTGGAGCTCTGCTATGGCTGTCAGGAAAGCTCTTCTCCCAGACAGACAGGAGATGTCGTGTTTCACCTTCTTGCTTTTGTCCACATCTTGCCTTCTCACCTACACTGACCACCCTAATTAAAACTACCCTCCAGTTCCTCACCCTCCAGTGCCCCTGCTCTTTTTCTTTTTCCCCACAGTATTTATCACCATATAACATCCTATTATTCAGTGCCCTTAGGTGACATGTTTATGGCTTGTTTATTTCCTGTAGAATGTGAACAAAGGGAAGGGGGTCTTCATTTTTTTCACTGATACTTCCATGGTTAACTCAGTTAATTTGACAGGATCTAGAACCACCAACGAGACAAGTCTCTAGGCATGTGTGGGATTATTGAGATTAGGTTAATTGAAGTGGGAAAAAACACCCTAAATGTGGGTGGCACCATTCCACAGACTGGGGTCCCGGACTACATAAAAAGGGAAGCTAGCTGGGCACCAGCATTCATCACTTTCTACTTCCTGACTGTGGGTGCCATGGGACCAACGACTTCCTCTTCCTGTCACCTTATCTTCCCTGCTGTGATGAACTCTATCCCCCCGAACTGTGAGCCAAAAGGAACTAATTCTTCCTTAAATTGCTTTTGTCACAGCAACAAGAAAAGCAATGAAGACATACAAACCAAGCATCCTACACTTAGTGTTCAGTAAGGATCTGCTGGATACAGAATCTCCAAGGAAGGAAACTGAGGATTGGAGGTAGGCATGGGAAGTATCCTAGTTTGTTTCTCCATTGCTGTGACAAAAACACTCTGACCAATACTAACTTGGGGAGGAAAGGGTTTATTTGGCTTACATCTCCTGGGTCACAGTTCATCAGGGAGCCCAAGGTAGGAACTCAGGGTAGGCACCTGGAGACATGAGTTAAAGCACAGGCCATGAAGGAATGCTGCTTACTGGCTTGCTCCCCTGGCCCCTACTCAGCTTACTTTCTTATACAGCCCCCCTCCCCCGGGGTGGCACCACCCACAGTGGGCTGGGCCCTCCCACATCACTCAAGAATCAAGAAGATGCCCCATAGACATGGCCACAGGCCAGTCCAATGGAGGCAATTCCCTAACTGAGCCTCCCTCAACCTAAGTGTGTCAAGTTAACACTAAAGCTACCCGGTACAGGGAGGAAACTTAGGATTCAGTGCACCCCCTGATATACTTTATACCAAGTGCTTTTATTAACAGATAAAATTTGAATGAAGTGTCTCAGCCCTACCAGTGTATGTGTGTGAGCACAAGAAGTGACAACCTGGAAATAACCCCTTCAGTTGAAATATGATGACCCAGACAACTTGCCCTAGCTCATAGGGGCAGGATTTAAACACACAGCTGCCAATTCCAGAGCCCTGGCTCTTAAGTAATTATGCCATTGTGCCTAATCAAGTGTGACTTGGGGCTCCAATCAGACAATTTAATTTAGCATGACAGGAATGTTAAACTGGATTGTTCTGGAGATCCTGATTTGCCTCTGTCTGACCTTGATTACAGTGAACTTCAAAAGGGACCATTTCAGTATTTTGGTATAGGATTTTGGTTGTATTGGGCAAGGCCTTTGCCACAAATGGGAATAACTAGGCTTGGGGAATTCTTTTAGAGCTCCACTGTTAAGCCAAGAAACCTCAGTCCCTTGTAGAAATATTTATATTTCTGACACCTGGCTTGCTCAGTGGGTAGGGGGGTTATTCCCCGGAGTTATTAAGGGCTAGCTGCTGTTCTTGGAGAACAGCCATGACTGCTGGAAAGTCCTTTGGGCCTGCATCAGATGGTTAACCCGCCGCTGCTGCTGGAGCCAATAAAGCATCTCCACTCTGTCCTGCTTTATCTTCTCCAGGTAGCTCCGCCCCCTGAAGGTCACTGGCTCCCCAAAGACCGCCTCAATCTTTTCCAGCATGGAGACCAAAGAAGATTCAATTCGATTGAGCTTCCTTTGGATATAACTACGGAACCGATTCTCTTCTAGGAGTCGATTCAGGACCAGGTCCTTTTGGAAGAAGCGGTTGGGGTCGGAGGCCTGTCGTTCAAACCACTCCAATCTCCCTAGCAACAACTCCCGCATCTGAATGGGCTTCAGGGCCCTCTCCCAGGCCCTGAGCAAGGCTGGTAGCTGCTGCAGGTGAGCATTGGAGCTATATTTGGTGACCATGTCCGACCGGCTCTTGTCAGGGACTTCCAACATAAGCCACAGTCGTTCCAGACGTTGCTGCAGGCCGGCTATCTGGGCTTTCTCAGCTTCTGAGCTGTCCTCTATCACTGAGTTCCAATCCCACTCTCCTGGTACAAAGTCTGGCCCTTCATCTTCTAGTAGGGGAGGAGGTTGCTGGATCTCTACCGGTTCTTTGACAGGGACCGGTATATCCACAGGAGTTTCTTCTTCATACATCTGGAAAATGACATGGAGGAAATCTGTCTCCTGAGTGGTGAGGAACTTGAAGTAGTCTTCTGTGGATACAGAGCTTTTCCACCAGTTCATCCACACAGCCTTATTTGGCTGCTTGTCCCAACTTCTGTGCCTTTGGAGCAATGTAAGTAAAGGCATCTTTTCAGAGTTCAACTGCTGACTGCTTGTCCTCTTGGGGTAAAATCCTGCCAGATCAGGGTTGATGATTTGAGTATGTTTATCCTGGTATAAATAAGCTGAGGACAGGAAGGCAGACCAATCTTTATCTGCTGAAGGCTCAACCAAGGGTCCTTGGTCAAAGCGGAAGTGGCTGGTTGAGACTTGGCTCATCAGCTCTTTGTAGACCTCTTTAGTGCTATTGCCAACGAGTCGATCAGCATCCATTTCTTCTGTGACTTTGGAATCCAGTTCACCAGTCAGGTGGTTGTACAGGACTCCAGCCCCTTCAACATAGAAAGAGTCTGAAAAGTATCTTTCAGAAAGCTGCACGGTGGCTACCTGGACCATGATCTGATTTTTTAGCTTCAAAGTAATGGTCACTGGCTGTGGATGAAGTGGGGAAGGTCGGGAGGGCTGGAGATCCCACTGCCCAGAGGCTTCTTCCTCCTCCAGGATCTTCAGCATTTGCTGCAGCTCCTTCTTGTGACGCTCAGCAGTTTGGCGGCGGGTCAGGACCCCCAGGAGTGGGGGCATGCCCGACTCCAGTGGTGAGTAGCGAGTCCATTCCATTGCTATATTCTTTGTCTTCTGTTTCAGATCCTCAGCCACAGTGTCCCCGTACAGCTCGGGGTGTCTCTCTGGAGCCAAGATCAGGGGAGTGAGAGAGTGAGGAGGGAGTGGAGGAAAGCCCAGCTCATCAGCCAGCTTCCAGCCCTCACGCAGACAGGGTACCGACTGGCCCCTCTGGAGCTGGGAGTAGATCCGGAAAGTGGGTACCAGGGAAGCCTGGCTAGTGGGAGTGGCCTCAGACTGGCCAGGCTGTGGCATCACCTGGGAGGGCCCCAAGTCAATTTCTTTCTCTTTTCTAGCGGAGGGAAGCAAGAGGAGAGGCTTTCTACCCTTCAGCTGGGGGATGGAGTTCAATTCCTTCACTGGATCCGGTTCCGGCTCAAGGAAAAAATCTTGTGGGCGGCTGAGTTGGACCAGGTAGTTCAGGTTAAGGCTAGAGCATGGCACTTGGTCGAAGCCGGTGCTGTGAGGCCAGGAGATGGGACAGAGCTTGAAAGACCCAGCAGGGCAGGCTGGGGGGCGCACCTTGGACAGGCCACCACGGATCTGCTCGAAGTTCTGCAGGGTCTGAAAATCCGCCAGTACATAACGGTAGACGTCGGGACCGGTGAGGAAGACCGTGCAATCCCTGGCAAGGTTGGCGGCCAAGCGGCTGAGGGTGGCCGATTCGGTGAAGACCCTTCTGGAGGCCGGCAGGGTGACCAACAGGTGCAGGTAGCGCAGGAACAGCTGCTCGCTGCAGATCAGCACGTAGGTCTCCAGCCGTTTCCGCAGCTTCTGGTTGTTCTCGTAGTTGAGAGCAGGTTCCGCCGGGGGTTCCCGCCAGCCGCACTTCAGCTCATCCAGGATGACCTGGATGAGATGGAGCCGGTCCTGGCGCGTCACCCGCGCAGACAGCCCTTTGCCCGCCAGCCGCTTGGACACCTGGCAACACAGCGGCCCCACTTTCAACTTGGCGAGGGGCACGGACTGCAATGTGGAAACTTCCTGCGTGCGGCTCTTCTGAGGCTCTGCGGGCGTCACTTTCCGGGGAAGCAGAGACAGAGGGCTCAGCAGCCGGTGGTAAAGCCGCTGCAGCTCCGCCTCTTGATTCTGGGACTCCATCTTCCACGCCAGCCCGGTGGTTTCTAAGGAAACTAGCGCCGAGGCAGGAATGCGCCTGCGCACACTGTAGCTGCTGCTGGGAGGACCTTCGGGCCCCAGGGCCAAGCTGGCGCATGCGCCGGGAGGTGGGGCAAAGGGTGGCTCCCTAGACTACCTGCTACTCGGTGTGGACCCCTAGCTGCGGTGCTGCACTAGTAGGGTGACTAGGTCCAGGATGGCTTCGAACTCGGGGAACGACGGGACCATGTGCGCGGTGAGAGTGGAAGCCTCAGACCTGGGGGTCATCGATATCTTGGGAAGCCAGGGAGGAGCAGGTTCTCCCGGGGAGTGGTGAGACTCTGGGATTAGAGTAGCCAGTCATGCATGCCCCTTGCGTGAACACTGGGGAGTTGAGACCGCCATTCTGGAATGAACTTGAGCTAGTGAAGGACTTTGAATAGAGATCATGTGTGGCGTGGACCCAGGCTTTGGAGTCATCATAGACAAAGAAGGTGGTGAAGCATGAATCATGCCCTACCCGACCCCGGCCCTCAACTCCTGGTCTCTGCCGCCCTTACAGCTGGAGTTCGTCGTGCAGATGACCTGTCAGAGCTGCGTGGACGCGGTGCACAAGACCCTGCAAGGGGCGGCAGGTAAGATGGAATAAACCTTTCTGGGAAACAGTCCAGAGGCCTGTAGGAAGCTCCAAGTCCATCTTAGCTCAGCCGTGTTCCCATTTTACAGATGCAGAAACTTGCACAGCGAGTGAAAGGAATCTTCTCAGTCACACAGAGACCCAGAGGCAGAGCCTAGAGCACAGGTCTGAAGCCCACCTTGTCAGAACTCTCTATTGGCATTAACTGCCTATATGACTGCTGAGCTTCAGGTGCCCTAGAAAATAGGAGCTCCTCCAACTGAAGGAGTTCCTAGGAACACCTGAGGTTTTGCTTGAGCAACACCACCATTCTGACAAAGCAAACAGCAGCCCTGGCCTGGCCCAGCTTAAGTAGCTTCTGTTTCCTTAAAAAGGCTGGCAGGTCTGGAAGTGACCTGGCCCAACTGGAAAGATCTGAAAGGCAGAGTCACTGTTAAGGCCCTGAAAAATGGCCTTTATAGTTATTATTATTATTCAGTTGAATGTTCACTCAATCCTTCAACAAATATAGACTAGACACCTGTGTGTTCTTAGGAAAAAGGTTTACCCTACCGCTATGGTCAGGTAAAGAGCTTTGCCCAAGGAACATTCACAGAATACTTCTTCGTGGAGAAATCATTCTGGGAGAGATGAGATGGGTCTGAAGCCAGGACACTGGAAACCCTGGACTCCACCTTGGGGTGATGGACGGCAGCAGTGTGTTTAGCGGTGAGAGGGATGTGAGAGGGGCATACTCTATAGTCAGAGATGTTTGGGTTCAAATGTCCTCCTTGCCACATCCTAGCTCAACTTCGTGCTTGTTACTTTCTGTACCTCTGTGTCCACAGTGTTTGGGGTTAATATTAGAAGCAAATCGAAGATTGTCATGAAGAGTAAATTAATTGGTCCATGTATAACACTTTAGGAAAGTCTTGGATGTGTAATGAGAGCCCAGTCAGTCTCAGGATTATACAAGCAGTGGTCGTGTACTTGGAGGGAGGCTTGGAGGAACCGATTTTTAAGTTTATTGTTAGTGTGTGTGTGATAATGTGTTTGCACATACCATGTTGCAAGTGTGGAGGTCAGAGGTTGATTTTGTGCATTGCTTCTCCCACCTTTACATGGGTTTTGGGGATCGAATTCAGATTGTCAGTCTTGTGCAGCAAGCACTTTACCCTCTGGGCCATCCATCTGACCTGAATTTTTTTTTTGGCGGGGGATCTTTTTGAGACAGGGTCTCCCTGTAGCCCCAGCTGGACTTGAACTCACAGAGATCCACCACCCTCTGCCTCCGGAGTGCTAGGACTAAAGGTATTCACCACCACACCTGGCTCTGAAACAGTATTTTTTTTAATATTTTATTTATCATTTTTATTTTGTGTTATGCGTGTATTGCCTGCATGTAGGTAAGTGCACCCATGTCATGCAATGCCTGCCGAAGAGGCTGTCGGATCCCCTGGAACTGGAGTTATGGACAGTTGTTAGCTGCCATGTGAGTGCTGGGATTTGAACCTGGGTCTTCTGCAAGAACAGTCAGTGTTCTTAACTGCTGAGCCATCTCTCCAGCCCCCTGAAACAGTGTTTTTAAAAAAGATTTATTTTCTGTTGGACATAGTAGCACAGGCCTTTAATCCCATCACTCTGGAGGCAGATTCTGTGAGTTTGAGGCCAGCCTGATCTACACAGCTAGTTTCAGGTCATCTAGGATTACATAGTAAGATTTCCCCCCCCTACAAACAATTTATTTTGTATTCTAAAAATATTTTATTTCTTATTATTTTATGTGTATGAGTGTTTCGGCTGCATGTATGTAAGTATACCTGTGTGCAGTGCCCGAGGACACCAGAAGAGCTGCATGGGATTCCCTGAAAATGGAGTTACAAATGGTTCTTAGCTGCCTCATGGGTGCTGGGATCTGAACCCGGGTCCTCTGCAAGAGCAGTCAGTGCTCTTAACTGCTGAGCCATTTCTCCAGGCCCAAGATTTATTTTATTTTTTGATTGTGTATCTGTGTGTGTGTCAGTGTGTGTGAATATATACTTGTGAGTGCCCATGGAGTCCAGAAGACAGCATCAGATCCCCTGGAGCTGGAGTTACAGGTGGTTGTGAGCCACGAGATGTGGGGGCTGGGAACTGAACTCAGGTACTATGCAAGAGCTGTATGTACTCTTAACTGCTGAGTCGTCTCTCTAGCCCTCTTGTTTTTGTTTTTTTTGAGACAGAGTCACATTATTCAGGCTAGCCTTGAACTCATGATCCTTCTATCTCGGGCTCCAGAGTGCTAGGATTACAGACTGCTAGGATTACAGGTGCTAGGATTTGCTGGGTTTTAAGGGCACTTAACTTTGAAGCTGGGTTTGCTTAGACTGTGTGATTTGGAATGGTAGGTGAAGATCTAATGGGGATTGAGCCAGTCTATGAATGGAGTATTTTCGCCAAAGCTTCTCTAAAATGTAGGGCTCTCTACTTCCTATGAAGTAGTCTTGCTGCAGGAGCAGACAGGTGGAATTTTGGTTGGACGTAGAGAAATTTTTAGCACTCAGTAGTGGGTTTCTTAAGCACCAGAAGGTGACTATGTTCTCTGGTCTGGGTAACTGAAAACCAGCTTGGCTTTCTCATAGCTAGGTAGGCAGGAGAGTTTCAATTTGTAGAATGCCCAGAGGGAAAGAGTTGCCTGTGTACTTGGGAAAGAGGGTTTTGCTCTCCTCCCAGGGCAAAGTGGGAGGAGCGCTCACCTCTGGAGGCCTCCTGCGGCCTCTCTTTTTTTCCTCACTGAGCCCTGAGTCACCAAAGCCTGGCCTGGCCACATTCCAAAATTCACCAGCCAAACAGAACTTCTGCCTCATGGAATTCACAGAGTTTCCTCCTCTGGCCCTCTCATATCAGAAGCAGAGAATCAGCTCCTCTTGGGAGATCCTCAGGTCTGGGAACCTACCTAGACCAAGGCCAGGCCATCAGGAAACCTTACCTGCTATGTGTACAAAACACTCAGGCCTCAACACTCATCCTAGACACCTGACTTCTCCTTGACCTGTACAAGAACCCCATCTGTGGGCTCTCTATTATCTTTGTTGACCTGAGTAGCTTTCCATATAAAAGCCAAAGTGATTTTTTATGTGTGTATGTGTGTAGTATATATATATATATATATATGTATATTCACGTGCGTGGGTACATGTGTGTACAGGTGCATGTGCACATTTGTGCTCATGCATATGGAGGCCAGAGGTTGATGTTGATAGGTAAAAAGTTGGTGGAGAACGAGCGAATGGATGAACCGAGGCACAGCTAAAACTCCATCAAAACAGGGTTTATTAGCAAAGGAGAACATGGGGCAGATTCCCTTCCGGGCAGGGAAAATGTCTGCCAGGGTCTTGAGCTGGGGTCTTTTTAAAAGGGAGGCTTCTGCTTCCTGCAGAAGGCAGGAAGATGTATTTTTCTTAAAGTTGGGGGGAAGTGGGAGAGCAGGACTGTTAAAACCTGTCCTCTTTAGAGATCAAAGGGGAAGCCTGCTGTGTTGACCAAACAGTGGAGAAAAGTCTGCTTCTCTTGACTTCAAAGACCAAGGTGCTTATCAGCTAGGTTCCCTTTTCTCAGGAGCATGAGAAGTCCTTGGGATCCTGTTGGTGAGGGGGCAGGGCTATCTGAACCTTAACAAGTGGC